TTTCTTTCTTTTCTCCTTTCCCTCATCCCAGTTGTTCCTTCCCTTTGAATAGTTTCTTTTCCTTTCACAGTATCTATTGTATCTTTTGGGTTTTATTTACTGTTTCAGGTTCTTACATTAGGCAGACAATACAATGTTTACACACATGGCTAAGATTTATTTCACTTACATGTATGGTTTCTAATTGTATCCATTTATCTATAAAAGCCTCAAGTTTATCTTTTTATATCTGAGTACAACTCCATTGTATAAAAATACCACATCTTTTTATCCATTCCTCAGATGATGGGCATTTGGATTATTTCCAAGATTTAGCTATGACAAATTGTGCTGCTATAAACATGGGTGCACATATATTGTTGTGGTATGATGTTTTAAGTTCTTCTGGAAAAATACCCAGAAAGGGAATAGCTGGCTTGAATGGGACCTCCAATCCTAGCTTTTTGAAGAATCGCCACACTGATTTTCATAGTAGTTGTACCAGTCTGCAGTCCCACCAACAAGAGAAGGATTCCTTTTTCCCCACAGACTCTCCAGCATTTGTTGTTTGACTTGTTGATGAGAGCCATTTTTTCTGGAGTGAGATATAATCTCAGTGTTTTAATTTGCATTTCTCAAATGACCAATGATGCTGAACATTTTTCATATATTTGTTTGCCATTTGTATTTCTTCACCTGAGAAGTATGTATTCATCTCAGATGCCCATTTTTGGATTGAGTCTATGAATTTTGGAGGCCTTATTTTTTTAGTTCTTTATATATTCTAGATAGAAGGCCTTTGTCTCAGGGACAGTCAGCTCAACTATTTTCCTAATTTGTGAGTTTTGTTTTTATTCTGTTGGTGATTTCTTTTAATGTGCAGAAACTTTTCAAATAGATGTGGTCCCAATTGTTGATTCTTTTTAATTTTTTAAAAAGAGTACAAATTAGAATTAAACAAAAAATTAAAAGTGATACAGAATTTCATTTAACAAAGTAATAAGAATTTCACAGTATTTGTTGTAATATAGTATTGTCTTCCAACAAGATATATGCATGTAAAATTGAAGAAGAAAGAAAAAAAGAAAGCAATGTATAAGAAATCAAGAAGGCAAAAAGGAGAAACAATTGCAAAAGGAGATGAAACAAAGCATTATCTGCTCCTTTGCATAGATGAGCAGAAATACACTATATATAGTTGACCAAACCATCCTGCTTACATACATAAATAAATCTCTTTCCCCCACTCCCTCTCCTGCCCTTCTCCTCAACTCAGTAACTCTTTCTTTTTGAACAGGTTGATTCCCTTTTCCCAGTATCTGTTGTACCATTCAGATTCCATTTTTCTCTTTCAGGTTCTCACACTAAGGAGACAATATGATGTTTGCACATGCAGGTCTGATTCATAACACTTAAGAGTATGTAATTTAGATGCATACATTTACTAACAAAAGACTCAAATTTATCCTGTTTTTTTCTGTATTTAGGGCAGGGTCTACAGGGTCTCAATATGTAGTTTGAACTAGTAGTGATTCTGTTTTGAACCTCCCAAGTTCTAGGATTACAGGTGTGTGCCACCATGCCCAATCTCAATCACAGTCCTAGTGTGCCCCAGGGGCAGCGCTGGCATGGCACACCAGGGAATGTACCCCAGCCACTGTGCTCTGCCTAAGCTGGCACTTTAGTCCACTGAGCTATCAGGCCAGCCCTATCAAATTTGTCTTGTTTTATAGCTGAGTAATACTCCATTGTGTAAGAATACCACATCTTCTTTATCCATTCTTCAGTTGATGGGCATCTGGGTTGTTTCCAAGATTTAGCTATGACAAATTGTGCTGCTATAAACCTGGGTGCACATATATTGTTGTGGTATGAGGCTTTTAGTACTTCTGGAAAAATATCTTAGAGGAGAATAGACGGTTTAAATGGAACCCCAATTCTAGCTTTTTGAGGAATCTCCACACTGATTTCCATAGTGGTTGTACCAGTCTGCACTCCCACCAATAGTGCAGAAGTTTTCCTTTTTCTCCACATCCTCTCCAGCCTTTGTTATTGGCTGACTTCTTGATGTTAGTCATTCTTTCTGAGGTGAGATGGAATCAGTGTTGTTTTAATTTGCATTTCTTAAATGACCAGTGATGTTGAAGATTTTTTCATAAACCTACTTGCCATTTGTATTTTTTCTTCTGAGGATGTATATTCATCTGAGATGCTCATTTTTGGATTGGGTCTTTGAATTTGGGGGTCCTAAGTTTTTAAAAATTCTTTATATGTCTGGATAGGAGGCCTTTATCAGAGGGACAGTTGGCTCTAATTTTTCTCTGTTTGTGGGTTTTCTTTTTACTCTGTTGGAGATTTTCTTTGACATGCAGAAACTTTTTAAAAAGATGAACTCTCAGTTGTTGATTCTTTAAAGTGTTTCCCATGTATTTTGGTTTTTGTTCATGAAATCTCTACCTACCACTATGTCTTTAAAGTTTCAACTCTCATTTACCTCCAGAAGATTTAGTGTTTCTGTTTTAATATTTATATTTTTGCTCCATTCAGACTAGTTTTGTGCACAGTGATCTGTGTTGGTCTAGTTTTAGCCTTTGGCATGTATAAAGCCAGTTTTACCAGCACCATTTATTATTATTTTCCATAATTTTATTGAGAGACAAAATAGCAATGAGACAGTTTCAAATCAAATTGGTATGACAGTTTCAGTAATTAACACATTGCATACTCTCTTCCTAGTGGTTATTTGCTATACAAGATGAAGACATGATATGCTATTTATAAACACTATTACAACAAATCCCCCTATTCACTAAGAGAATGTAACTATATATCTGTCCTAACCATTTTGAATACACAGATACAAAATGGACATTCATCTGTATCCCCTTTTTTGTTTAGTTCCGTCATTTGAATATTATAGGTGTGTGAGCTCAGCAAAATATTCTAAAAGAGTCCAGTAGTCCATAATAGTATTGGGTCTTCCTCTTGACTGGCAGTGTCAGAAATTGTTGACCTGAGTCTCCTACAGCTCAACATAACACCATGGCTTTACTTCTTTTACTTCATTTATATACTTTTCTGCTGGATGGTTAAGACCAAGATAAAGTAAGACCTATGCAACAAGAGTTGTCGTTTTTGGATCTAATAAGATCAGTCAAATCCCCTCAGGATTTTTCCTGAGATCCTCTACCTTAGATTGTAGATACTTTGTCAGTGTCAGCCATGTGGATGAGTCATGCCCATTGCTTGGCCAATGCCAGCACCATTTATTAAAGAGGCTGTCTTTCTCCCTTTATCAAAGTTAATGTTGTTGTTGTGTGTTCGCCATTGTGTCTGCGTCTTCTAATCTGTTGCATTGATCCTCAAGTCTGTCTATGCCAGGATCATGCTGGTTTTTGTCACAGTAGCTTTATCGTATAATTTCATGTCAGTGATTGTGATACCTTCTGCTTTTCCTTTGTTTCCTAGGGTTGCTTTTGACATTCTGGGTCTCTTCTTGTTCCAAATGAATTTGAGGAAAGTTTTCTCTCGCTTTGTGTGGTATATTAATATTATTTTAATTGGGCTTGCATTGAGTCTGTATAACAATTTTGTGAGTATGGCCATTTCCTCAATGTTGGTTATTCCTATCCGGGAGCATTGAATGTTTTTCAATTTTCTCAAATTCTCTTCAATCTCTTTTCTTATAGTACCATAATTTTCACTGTACAAATCTTTTATGTCCTTTGTGAGACATGATACTTTATATACAGGACTCCAAAAATTTCACTGTCTTGTAGATTTGTTCACTAAATTCAGCAATGTAGCAGGATGTAAAATCAATAGTAGCATTTTTGTACACAAGCAATGAGCACACTGAGAGAAAAATTAGAGATACCATGCCTTTCTGAATAATATCCCCCCCAAAAGTTGTTGATTCTTTGAAGTATTTCTCACGCAAACACTAAATTTGCTGGAGGAGAAAGTAGGTAGAAATCTTGAAGACATAGGGGTAGGCAAAGAGTTCATGAACATGAACCCATATTTATAGCAGGAACATTTATTTCTATGAAGACAGTGTACTTCTGCCTTAGAAAATATTATCTTTTCAAATTAGTTAGACATAGCCCACAATGTCATTTGCACAGGAAACTACACCCATATGATGCTTAGGGAACTCTTTGGAAAAGGCCCTGCAGCTATTGAAAACTACATAAAGAGGTTCCTACTGTCTGTGAGCTCTGCTTCTGGTAGGAGCCAGGGAGCCTTCAAGAACTGAGAGAAGGTATGTATTATGTGTCTTAGTCTTAAAATTGACGTATTTCTCATTCAAATAATACCATAAACTGTGAAATATAAAATAAATTTAAATTTTCTGGTTATAGATTAAAATAAGTTTTTATGGGCTTCTTTAAAAACTTATTTAATATCAATAATATTTCCTCAGGCAATTGCTTACAAAGAATTGAGAGCTAAGGGCCTCTTCATAATTCAGTCTTGAGACTTTCAGCAGATTCCTTTCTCCTGGTTGGTACAAAAATGAATTTGAATTTTAACTCCTCTCATATTATATGGTCAAAAGTTCAAAAAATGTGGCCTGTGAACTGAGATTTAGTTTTATTTCATTTGGTTACCTTACCTTGAGAATTAACCATAGTTAGAGATTGGAAAAAGCAAACTTTTTTGCTACTTTGGATACCAGATATGTGTGTGTGTGTGTGTGTGTGTGTATGTGTGTGTGTGTGTGTGTGTGTGGTGTCCTCACATACCCAGAAATTCTGCAACAGACACCATAAGTGTGACATTAGTTTAATTCTGACAGTATCTAGCTAGATTTAGAGTCAGGTTCCATAGCTTAGAGGCTCAGTCCCATGAGACTGCCCCACTTGAAATGCTAGTCACAAGTTCCAGGGTGTGACCTGGATTGTATGCTCCTGCCCAAAGGACTATAAATCAGGATTCCTATGACCCATTCCTCAGTTTTATAAATTTTCACGTGGAACTCAAGGAGACGCTTTACTTACACATACCCATTTATCATAAAGGATGTTGTGAAGGATGCAGATGACAGCCTGGTTGAGGAGGCAGCAAGGTAGAAGAGAAGGAACATAGAGCTTCTTTACCCTCTCTAGGCATACTGCCTTCCAGACACCTCCACAAATTCAGCTGATGAGAAGAACTCCAAATTGCAGAGTCCAGAGTTTTCCATGGAGGTTTCATCATGTAGGTAGACATTATCTATTTTTTATATGATTTCCAGCCTCACTCCTGAGGGTGAAGGGTAGGGCTGAAGCTTTCAAGGTTCTAATCATTGCTTAGTCTTTCTGGCGACCAACCCTCATCCAGGAGCCCATCACAAGTCATCTGATTAGAACAAAGCATGTCCAGTTACCCAGAAGATTCCAAGGGACTAGGAGCTCTGTATATGGAACAGGGGCCAGGGATGAAATATTGGAACAAAAGATGTGCCTGACATCCCTAGGACTTAGGAAATTACAAGGGTTTTAGGAGCTCTATGACAAAATACAAGGACAAAGAGCAAATACATTATTTCATACTGTATTAGAGTAGTTATTTGTGAATCCTAAGAGCAAGTTATATTTTTTGTCTACACCAAGAGCCTTCTTTGTAGACACTATAGGTAGATAAAATGGCAAATAAAATACTACAAAGAACATCTGCTCTTCCAGCTAAAACATTACCATTTTCACAGTTGTATACGTTTTCAACCTTGTTACAGTCCCTCATAAGCCACCAGCCACTGGAAATATCACCATGAAACTCCCTGTGACATAGGAAATATGTAATTATGTAGGTTTTGCTGTCTTACCTTGGTACCCTCTGTCTTGGTTACTTTTCTCTCATTGCTGACACAAAATACCTGACACCCAGAATTAAGGAAGGAAAAGTTTATTTTGCTCACAGTTTCTGAATGTTTCAGTCCATACTTGGCTATTTCCAAGGCAGAGTGGCACATGGCAGAGGGCAGCAGTTCATGGCTATGGAAGACAGAAAAAGCAGAGAGAACAAAAAGGGAACAACTGTGGCAGAGAAAGCAAGCTTCTTTTCCACCCTTACACTGTATGCAGGCTACCAGCCCCAGGATGGGTATAGCACTTACACCCATAATCCCAGCATTAGACCAGGGATCAATAAAAAACTCTAAAATCCCACACCATGACTGCATGAGGCTTCCGAGAATATCTAGACACAAACCATAACACCCCCCTGCTGAGAAAAGCTAGATAAGTATATATTTACAAAAAATGCCCCATGGGAAAGAAGTTTTCAAGTAACCATGGCCCAATTTTTCAAGATAATATAAAACTCTGAGAAAAAAGATTGAAAAAGATGTTATTTTTTGTGTGTTTCTTTCAGTTTTATCCAAGTATGAAAACCAGATTACTATTTTTGCTGACTACCTAGAAGAATTTCCAGACACAGACGAGCTGGTATGGATTCTGGGAAAGCAGCATCTCCTTAAAACAGGTATTTCTTGGCAGCAGTTGTCTTTGGGAATCAACTAAGGTGGGCAGCTGGGATTCAGGTCCTGCCTTCCTTTCTGTCTTACGTTGCTGCTACTCTAAGGTAGATGTACACTGTAGCAATGAGGCTTAAGCCTCATTTCCCTTCCTTGCTGCACAGGCCTCTTTCAAGATCCTGAAAGTCCCTAGTAATATGTTCAAATAGGTATAGGATTTTGTACAATTTGTAAAAGTAATGTATTTTTTATTCTTAAAAGAAAACATCCAAATTCTAGAAATACTGGGTTTCAAAAACATGGACCCATTCCTGGTTATCACTAAACAGTATCCATTCTTTGGTAACTGGGCTATATGTTTCTCATTTAGCTCACATTGTTGTCCATCTCAAAAGAAATGCCTAAGGACTTCTAAACAAGCCATGGCTGTTCGAAACAATATCAGACATACAAATTCTTATGTTTTAAATCTTTTTTCTGACTTTTGTCCTCTTAGTTCATTCTGGTTTTGTATATAACCACTGCAACTACAATGAGGGCTTCAGTATTTCTTCTTTCCTGTCATATTCTTAAGAAATTGGGAAAGACTTTAACCTAAAATTGCTAATGATCCAGCACCTAATGCAACCTGAACTTGGGAAGGGGCAGCTCTGAGATTTATGTTTCTGAGAGTTTCTTTCTTTCTTTCTTTCTTTCTTTCTTTCTTTCTTTCTTTCTTTCTTTCTTTCTTTTTGTATTTTAGGGAAGGGTCTATAGGATCTAACTACTAGATCAGACTTGTAGTGATCCACCTGTTTACAGCCTCCCAAGAGCTGGGATACAGGCGCGCACCACCACTCCCAGTCTCAGTTGCCATCTGAGTGCGCCCCAGGTTCAGGGTCAGCGTCTGAGAGAATCTCTTTAGTGGACCTCAGCATGCTAAGTAAGGAGCAGGAAGAAGCTGATCAAAAGGCAGGAGAGGAAGTTAGGCATTGTCCCCTTCCTCTTGAGTTTGGCTTCATTATTTTGATTGGAGAATTATGAATTAGGAGAGAGTCTGAAGATACCAATTAGGTGACTTTGTGTCTTCGGACTCTTCTAACTTACTCAAGTCACTTTCTCTTTCTACATTTTAACTTCTTTCCCCAGTACTTAAATGTAGGGATGGGAGAGGACCTCTTCTAGTTCTATTTTTTAGGATAACAAGAATCTTCAGTTTGTGGAATATGCCCATAGTTAAACACTAAGCTAGGAAATACTTTTTAAGTAAAATTATTGTTAAAATATCCATGCCATCATCACAGCATGAAGCCAAGCTGGACTATACAGCAGCTGCAGAGGCAGGAGTGGTGTGAACATTTGAGAAGTTAGGTGTATCATAACAACTGATATTTGGCACAATCTTACTGTATACAATACACCATCTAAGCACTTCCCATGTATTATCTTTTTGGATGTTCACCACTCAGTGAAGTAGAATTTATTCTCCCCATTTTTCAGATAGGGAAACTGAAGCTGAGAAAGGTTAAGCAACAAGGTCACATAGCTGGTAAGTACCAGAATCAAGGTGCAAAACCAGTCAGTGTATAACTCTAGAAATCTTACTCTTAACTACTATATATCTGCTTCCCAAAATGTGCTCAGCACTGGGGCTAGGAAGGGAAGGGGATCCAGATAGCTCAATTGTCTAGTTTTCTTAGAGTAAAGAAATGAGAAAATATTGGAAAATATTGGCTAAAAGTGGATTTGTCTTTCTTCTTTTGAAGTATGTTGACTGTGGTTCCTATACAGAATACAAATATGGGTATGTTGTTAAGAGGGCAAGAGATGACTAAGAAAAATACTATGTCTAAGTAGAAAGGGTGATTAGGAAGTTGTACCGATGGCCACTGAAGTGAATTTGCCATAAAATGCAAGAAAGCATGTTTTGAATAAAGACAAAAACATATGTGATATATACATTGACCTAGAGTACAAATGTCAGTTGCACTTGGTATTATGGGTAAATGTATTACACATATTATTTGCTTTCTGGGGATATTCCTTTTTAGTTGAATGTATACATTATACATGTAAACATACATGCCCTTGGTTCTAGATAATAATGTTATAACAGTAATGGTGAGCAATCCAACTAACTATCATCATTCAGACTGGGAATGATTGCTTTATGGGTGGGTTATAGAGGATCCTTTCTTGTCTTATTTCTTGTCTTTTGACCATGGCTTCACTGTGGGTACCTTCCAGGGCCATGATACTGAATGAGAAAGAGACAGGAACTACCCAGTATCATATGACACACGAGTCAAGTAGCTCAGGCCAAAACAGAAGTGAGGGAGAAATACTGAAAGTATTTGGCTGAAATAAGATTGGATTTCCTATGAATTTTCCCTGGGCCTATAACAATGGAATTGATTGGTTATTCGCAAGACAGTTTGCTCTTGGCTTAGAACTCAAACACGGAAATTGTTTAGATGGAATATAGTGACTTAATTTTATTTTCTAATTGCAGAAAAATCTAAGTTGTTGTCTGATATAAGTGCTCGTCTATGGTTTACATACAGAAGGAAATTTTCACCAATTGGTAGGTATATCATTTGTTATATGTTATATGCTTTCTTATAGATAGCTTGCCTGAGTTTATCAGTGACTTCAAAGAAACCTTAAAATTAACACTTTATTTTGGCAAAGCATTTTATTTAAGGAAATAGGTAAGTCTTACACTTCACCCAAAATTTTATTGCTTAAGTACCTTGTCACACACAGTGCTGTGGTGTTGACATGTTATGCCAGTATACCTTTGACTCTGCTTTCACCTGCTCAGATATCAGATAGGATTATTTATGTTACTTTTGAGAGTAAGGAAAAACGAAATCAACTTTTAATTTGGATAATATCTACTAAATTACAATTCACTGTTTTGTAGAACTATTTGATTATTAAAGATAATTCTGCCTTGAAGGAAAGAAAATAATTCTGAAATGAAAGCACCTTGACATTGGAGGACATTATGATAGATTTCCATACAACTAATTGTAGTCTGTTTCTAACTGTCATTTAGAAAAAAAATCGATAAATAAGGTAAGTGAATATGCTTCCTTGTGAGGATTTATGAAATGTTTGCAAGCAGGGTAGTCACTTTCTAATATCTGGTCCTTTAGGATGGAAATATTGGAAGCTATTTCACCTAAGCAGAAGCCTGTTTGACCAATTTTAAGGCAGGACTGAACTTTCTTTTTTTTTCACATTTTATTTTTTTAATTTTAAACAGAAATAAAACAAAATTTCAAAACAAGATAATAGGCTAACAATGGGTAATACATTGCATATGGTTATCTTTAAATTAGTTATTCAGAGTACAAGATATCAGCATTTAATTGTCCAAACAATATTCAATATTACCACAAACATTTCTTAGCAATTAACTAAGAGAAAGTTATATAGATATATATAGATACACTTTTTCCTGCCTTCTTTTCTCCACTTCTTATCCCAGTTTCTCTTGCTTTTTCTTCCCATTCTACATCTATTATACATTTTGGATTTTACTTACTCAGGACTGAACTTTCTAAATGGAGTGAAATAACCTTTCTGCAAAGAGCCAAAAACAAAATCCCATATTTTCTTTGCTCTTCATAGAAAGTCCTTATCAGTCGCATAAAAGAACAATTTTTATCACACAGTGATTCTAAATGGTTAGCCTTTTCTGGATGAGGAAATCCTTGTAAGGCTGGAAAATACTTCCAATTCAACTCTGTTGACATTTTGTCAACATATGGTCTCGTCTTTATGTGTATCTCATTGCAGCTTTTGCATGCTGTTAATGGGCTATGATTTGAGCATTAGCAAGAACCAAAAGACTTCCCTTCTAGCTCACAAAATCGGTGCATGCCTCTCCATCCTGCTGTAGCAACTCTCTTTAAGTCCCCACAACAAAAGGAGAAGGGTGATCACTTCAGGAACCTTGTTTTGCAAGATTGATGACACCCTTTACAATTTATCTTCTAAGATTATGATTAGAGCATACTTTTCTACATCCATTTGGGAAAAGGAAAGCAATGAAAGCAAAATAGCGCCTCTGTTATCTAACCTATATAGTTTCATTGGTCCCTTGATAGAAAATATTGATAGATTACTCACCTTGTCCATATACATGGACTTGTCTTTACAGCAAGTATTCTTAAAGTCAAACCTGTTATTTCATTTATTAACTAGTTTTGTACATTTAAAAATACAGTATATTTCTAATTCTGTAATAGTATTTTTTATTACTTCCATACTTGTAATACTAGGTATTTGCATTAACCAGTGTGGATTCTTGAACACATTGAAATAAATTCTCTCATTTTATTCTTACAGCATCCACTGATAGTAGAGAGAGTGTGTATTATTATCTCTGATCTATGGATGGGATTTGGGTTGTGAAACTGGAGATTGGTTTTCTGATATTTAATCTAGGCCTCTTTATTTTATTTTACTTTGTCCTTATTCTGATCCTTATATATTTAGAACAGTGAAATGCCTTCCAAATGTCTCCGGCCATTATGATGACTACCTTCAGTAGTATTTGTTCTTTAACTTAAATAAGACTGCCTACAATGAGATGTCCAAGGCCATGTGGGTAAATTATACAAGTCAAAGTTTGGTCTAGAAAGTGATGACATGGAATAGATTAAGTTTTGGTAGTCATACATAGCACTCATTGATTAAAATTGTGTGTATACATAGAAGTCTCCAAGGCTGGTTATGGTTGTACATGCATGTGATCCCAGAACTCAGGAGGTAGAAGTAGGAGATCCAGCCTGGATCAGTGAGTTCAAGGCCAACCTGATCTGCGTAGTGAAATCCTGTCTCAAAAAACAAAACAAAATAAAATCCCCAACCCCTCCCAAACAAAACAGCCAACAAACAAAAATCCAAAATCTAGAAGTTTCCAAGAAGAAATCCTAAGGGGATAGGTTTAGTTCATTTGTTTGCTTTTTCTTTGTTTATAGAAGCTGTTTGGTTGACTTAGCATTATTATTGCCAGTTTCAACCCTATATCCAAATGCTACTTGAGCCCTGTATTTTTTGCCTCCCTTCTCAGAATATGTATATTTGCCTGTCTTTACTGAGTCCCAAATATGCTGATTTCTCAGGAGATGACAATTTAAGGTATCCATATTCATTCCCATCCAATTGGCCAACAGGGGGAACAGGCCCTTCATCGGATGCTGGCTGGGGATGTATGCTGCGCTGTGGACAGATGATGCTAGCTCAAGCTCTGATATGTAGACATTTGGGAAGGGGTGAGTTCCATTTTTTGTATAAATGGCTTTGAATACCTCTGTAATACCATTTGCTATTGTTGGTACATATTAACACTAAGCTTTAAGAAGACTCAATAACAAAACTGTAGGCCCTAAAATGCTTTCTGCATGCTAAGTGTCAGGGTTTTAAAGTCAACAAAGCCCCTCTAAAAAAGAAATGGGCAATATTTCCTTGTGATTCACCAAGCCAGACAGTTATTTTCCTGGGATAGAACTGGATGTTGGAGCATGTGTGTCATTTAGAGTTTCAACTTTGCTATTATTTGAGTTCTTAAAAATTCCAGATAACAAAGGTAACAGGAGGGTGCAGTGTTAAGACTGTTTCTTAACCTCATTTAGAAAATCCATATGGTGAAGGATATAAATGACCTAAACAGGGGGTCAGGGAGATAGCTTAGTAGAATAAGTGCTTGCCTAGCAAGTGAAAGGTCCTGAGTTCAATCCCTTGTACCACCAAAAAAAAAAAATGACCTAAAGGCAGTGTGTAATAAGAGAGCCAGCACTGTTTGGTATTTGATCCCTGAGGATATCTATTCAGTGATGAAAGATTCCTTAAATTAACTTTCTCAGGAGGCCATTTTATATTCAAGAATCTTCTAGTTGGAATTGTTGGCACTCTTGAAGCTTGCCTTCTTTAAGACATGTACATGCTCCTTGTATGCCTCTGCAGGGTGGAGCTAGATGCCAGTTCAGGAAGTTGGGGGAAGTCCAACTAGACGTGGGGAAGAGCGAGTAAAAGGATGATTTGGATGAGATTGGACTGATGAACTCATTGGCTACTGCTGATGGAAGCATGGAAATGCTACTACTCTGCTTTCCCTACTTTGCCAACTGAGAGAACCTCTGCAGTTTTCAGTTAGAACCCAGGAATTTCTGAGGAGGTTGCAAGATTTACTGTCTTCTCTGCAGGACTTAGCGTATCCAGTGCTTGCTTTGCTTGGCTGGTTTTATAATCTCTATTTTACAGATGAGGAAATGAAGGCTTGCATAAATAAGATGATTTGCTCAGAATCAGCAAGGAAATATATATGTGCAACTAGAATGCAAATCTTCTGACTGTCAGTCAAGTGACTGCTCTATTATACATATAATTCTTGATACAGATTCATTTTTACTATTTAATGTTTTCTTTTTATTTACTTTTGGTTTGAGACAGGATCGTGTTATGTTGTTCAGCCTGGCCTAAATCCATGGTGACCCTCCTGCTTCAGCCTCCCAAATGCTGGAATTACAGGTGTACACCACCAAGGCTAGCCTCATTTTTTCTTATTTGTAAAGCACTTTGAGAGGACTTTTCTGAAAGCAAATTGTGAAGTATGAGCAAACAAACAAAAATGCTACAGTCATCAGTTTCAATCATTTCAGCATAAAAGCTAATACTAGAAATAATTTGAAAATACATCTTGTAGTTATGTTGAATAGAAGATGTAGCAGTCTTTTGAGCTGTTTCCTCCTATTCAGTCATTTTAAAAACTTATGCTGGGGTGTTCATTTAGCACTGTCATCAGTAACTATTTAATGGTACTTAGAAGCCAGCTAATCAGAATTTCACTAACCTTAGACAATTTAGTAACTAATGAAAAAAGTTGGATGTGATTTATTCTCTGAGGGATGTAGTACATCTGAAGTTTACAACTTTGACTGTAGGAAATCTAGAGGTTAAAAAAATCTAGAAAAAATACAGTACTTTTAAAAAGGAGATTGAAAAGGATATTATAAAATGGAAACTCTTAATGAATAGAGGGATTTGTTCTAATGGTGTTTGTAAATAGAATATCAAGTCCGCATCTTGTACAGCAATTAACCACTAGGAAGAATGTATGCAATGTGTTAATTATTGAAACTGTCCTACCAATTTGGTTTGAAACAGTCTCATTGCTATTTGTTTCTCAATAAAATTATGGGAAAAAAAGAATCAGGGTCCTCTTCAATTTGATTTATGCAATTGGGATGTTGAATACCCCGTAAAAAAATTCCCAAATGCTAAAATCTATGGAGCATTCAGACTAGTGATATATTAATGAATAAAGGAAACTCTGTGCCAAGCAATTAGAACCTGGAGACAGCCTGAGCAATGGGACCTTGCTTTTGTTGATTTCAATATAGGAAACCTGAAAAACGACTGCCTTGAAAGACAACATTAAGGGTAACGTGTAACATAATGTAAGAAGGTGTAAATTATGTAAATATAAGGTGATTACTCATAAGGAAGTAAAATAAAATCAATTAGCATTTTGAAAAAAAATGGAAAAATATCCTTTGTTGTTGGGTAGGAAGAGCCAGTGTAGTGAAAATGGCCATATTCCCAAAGTTGTTATACAGATTTAATGTAAGACCAATCAGAATATTATTAGCATACCTCACGGAATTAGCAAAAATAATCCTAAAATCCATTTGGAATCAGAAGAGACCTAGAATAGAAAACTAGTTCTGGGCAATAAAGGCAAGGAAGAGGGCATCATAATCCCTGACCTGAAATTATACTACAGAGCTACTGTGATAACAGCAGCATAGTACTGGCAAAAAAGATCCCAAGGATCAATGAAACAGATTAGAAGATGCAGAAACAATTCCAAACACTCAGCTGCCTTATCTTTGACAAATGGGACAAACACATTTACTGAAAGAAAGATAGCCTTTTTAGTAAATGGTGCTAGGAAAAACAGGCTTTCCACATGCCAAAGAATAAAACTAGACCCATGTCTCTTACCATGTACTAAACTGAAATGAAAATGGATCAAATATCTACATATTAAAAACAGAGGCATTAAATCTGCTAGAAGAGAAAACAGGCAGAACTCTTAAACATGTTGGTGCAGGCAAAGATTTCATGAATAAAACCTTGATTGCATGGCAAATAATACAAAGAATTAACAAGTGGAATCTCATTCTATGAAGAAGCTTTCACACAGCAAAAGAAATAACCAACAGAGTAAAAAGAAAACACACAAAGTGGGAAAAAATTATTTCCAGTTGTTCCTCAGACCAAGGACTAATATCTAGAACATGAAAAGAATTGAAAAAATATGAGACTCTCCACTGATTTAAAGATATAAATCCAAAAATGGGCATCTGAAATGAATACCTACTTCTCAGAAGAAGAAACACAAACAGAAAAAAATATATGATAAAAGTTCTTTTTTATATTAATTTTATTGAGAAAGAAATAGCAATGAGACAGTTTCAAAACAGGTTAGTAGGACAATTACAGTAATTAATACATTGCATATTATTGTCTTCATAGTAGTTATTCATAGTACAAGATGCAGACATGATCTCTTGCCTAAACACTACTAGTATGAATCTTCTCATTGAGCTAAGAGAAAGTAGCTGTATATCTATCCTATTTTGTATATACATACATGTATATATATATATATATATATATATATATATATATATTTCACTACAAAATCAACCTTCATTTGTATCTCCCATTTTTGTTTAGTTGTGTCAGAGATGGGTGTTCCATTGCCATTCAAATATTATAGGTGCATGAACTCAGCAAGTTCAATATCACAGGTCATTCCAGAGATGCAAATTAAAATATCATTGGGATTTCATCTCACTCCAGAAAGAATGTCTATTATCAAGAAATCAACCAGTAACAAATATTGTCAGTGTTGTGGAGAAAAAGGAGCCCTTCTCCACTGTTGGTGGGAGTGTAAACTAGTGCAACCACTCTGGAAATCAGTGTGGAGATGCCCTTAAAAATTAGGATTGAGGCTGGGGAGATAGCTCAGCAGTCTAAGTGCCTTACTGGCAAGCACAAAGACCTAATTTTAATCCCTGGCACCACATGCCAAGCCTCACTTGAACCCCAGGCATGCTGTGTGGGCCACCAAAACTGGGCGTGGTGGTGCACGCCTGTAATCCCAGCACTGGGGATGCTGAGACTGAATCACTATGAGTCCAAGCTGCATAGTGAGACCCTGTACCAAATAAATAAATAAATAACTATTTAAAAAATTATAGTTAGAAGTTCCATTCAGCCCAGATATTCCCCTTTTGGGTATCTTCCAGGACGAATTAAAAGTATCATACCATAGCGATATATATGCACCCCTGTTTATAGCAGCATAATTTGTAATAGGTAAATCTTGGAAATAGTTCAAATGCTCATCAACTGAGGAATGGGAAAAAGGATGTGTTTATTTTTGTACAGTAAAGTACTTATCCATAAAGAAGCATAAAGTTGAGATATTTCTATTCAAATGGGTGCAACCTGTGAGCATACTTTTACGTGAAATAAGTTGGACATACTTGTTCCAATATTGAATTGTCTCCCTGGTGTCAGAAATGGAAAGAACTGAATAAAAAGCAAAATGTGTAATATATATTGTGAGATAGGAAGAAAATATTCAAAATAAAATAGGAACTAGGGAAGGGGGAAGGGAAATGAGGGAAGGAAAAATAAATTTTAAAAAAGATGAAAGGAATAAGTAGAGGGCTGGGGAGATGGCTCAGTGGAATAAGCTCTTTCCTGGCAAGTGCAAGGGCCTGAGTTCAATCCCCGGTTCTGCAAAAAAGATTTAAATAAATAAATAAATAAATAAATAAATAAAATATTTTAAAAAAAGGAATAAGTAGAAATAGTGCTTTGTAAATAAGATGGGGAGGAGGTGCTGAGTGCAGCAGAGGGGACTGAGGAGAAAAGAGGACTCAAGACACATCAGATAGAGCTATAAATTCCCTATGATGAATGTGATCATTATGTTTATTTAAATTGTACCAATAACCTTAATAAAAATAAGAGTCTAGAGATAATGGCCTTTGTCTTCAAGTATATTTCAATCATTAATTCAAACTCTAAAAATCTCAGAAGAGTAATTTATTTCTTGGAAGCAAACTGAGCCTCAGAAATCTGCTCTTGGGCTGGGGAGATGGCTCAGTGGAATAAGCGCTTCCCTGGTTCCGCAAAAAAAAAAAAAAAAAGA